GAAGTAGATTCCCCCATTTTCCTTCCACAGAACATAAGATGGGTTTGAAATGTCAGCCTTCTCGTTAGCAGTCAAATGCTTTATGCACTGTGCCACCAGAGCTCCATACATATATATATATATTTGTATATGTATATGTATATTGTATATGTATACGAAGGTTGGTCAATTTATTTCCGTAGTGATACTGCCTCGGAAACCCAAGGGGGGTGGTCACTATGAGTCAGGTCTGACTTGACGGCACATAACAACAACACAACAACAATACATATATGTAGATAACTAGATACTTAGATAGCTAGATAGCAAATGTGATAAAATATTAACATTTTGGAAATCTGAATGTGAAGTAACTTTCAGAATTCTTTGTATTCGACTATTCTACAAGTCTAAAATTAAAATAAAAAGTTAAAAGAAAATATCACTAGATAAAAAATACAAATCGTCCAGACCTTAAAAATGTTTCTCCAATATCATTAAAAAGAAGTAAATTAATTTAGCTGTTGAATCAAGACTACATAATTAATGAATTTAAAAATAATGCCTATCTGAATACTTGTGATACTTATTGTTTACATAAGAATAATACAAGTTAAAATAAACAAAGTTGATTTTCCTCTTATAATTTTGCTACTAGTCAAGTTACATTACCATTTTATATAATTAAAAATATATATTCTTCTGGGTACGGAAACTAATATACTCACTACATATTCGTTGCTTCCATTTGAGATCGACACATCAAATGGCAGTTTTGACCATATTTTCAAGGATTTGTAGAATCCTTCATTTATTAATGCTACCTCTTGATCCATATATTTAATACTTCAGAGTCGAAATACTATGAGTAATTGTGTGGATCTGGTGGCTCCATGTGAAAAAAGATTACCTTGATCACATGGGTTTAGAAAGAAGGTTCCAGACATGTAATGATTTCATGGGGAATATATTTAACTTCAGTGCAACTTTAAAATGTTGGTATCAAAACTTGTAGCCATATGATTCAGGCTTTCATTAAGGATCAAAGTGTCATGGTATCTTTCCAGATGCTATGAGAAAGTCTGTGTCTCTCTTAAAGAAAAAAAAAGACTTTGAAACATCACAAGTACCTACAGAAACGATTTCATCTCTAAATTCACATTATACCCAAATGCATCAAAGCCTCTTGAAATAGCTCCATTGACAACTACCATTCTTCCACAGGCATACCAGAGAATACACATGCACAAACCTCACATATAGGTAAAGTTTTGTCAGAAAACTCATGCCTCCCAAATGAAAAGAGATAATAAGTGTATTATATCTCATTTAGTTGGTGCTTGGTTCCCATTTGGCCTGTTTGATTTCTTTTCAGCTTTGCTCAGTAGACGATGGTGTAGTTTAACTTTCTAAATCTTAAAAGATGTTCTTTTTGTACTTAAAATATTTATAAACTAAGTTTTCAAAGACTGTAAGAATCCTTCCTACTGAAACCATTCCTCTTGAGAACGGGAACCAGACAAATATGCCCGCTATCACCACTTCTATTCAACATTGTACTGGAAGTCCTAGCCAGGGCCATAAGGCAAGAAAGGGAAATTAAAGGCATCCAAATTGGTAAGGAAGAAGTCAAACTATCCCTATTTGCTGGTGATATGATCCTATGCCTAGAAAACCCAAGAGACTCAGTTAAAAACCT